GTGGGGGAAACAAACATGTTTTATACACCTTTGAGGCCAACAGTTTCTAGGCCCCCCTATGGGATAGAACTAGCAAAACAAGCAAAAGTTACAGAAGCAGAAAGTCCTGCTGTTAGAACATTTGTAAAACAATAGTTGATTAATTGTTATTTCTAAAGGGACTTTTTAAGGGGAGGAGGTTTCTAAGCTTCCTCCTTCTGAGTTCCTCTAAAGGACAGGCAGGTGGGTCAAGCAGCAATATGGAGTCTGTCTTGCTAACTCGGGTCCTTCACAAATTATGAAATTAGTTTCACTTGAATGCAGAAAACAGAAGCCCCCTTCTCAGGGAAGCATTTTCTGGCTCCCTAACTTGGTTTAAGTGACCCTTCCCCAAACTCCCCTAGGCACTAACTGCTTAGTACCACTGTCTTACTCTTATCACTTGGTTCTTGAAAATACCATATGTGTTCTCTGGTACTATTCTGGCAACTCTTCTGTTTGAAATTCTACAAAAATTAAATTACCCTAAAAAACACACACTAGGTATAATAAGCTCTAACATCTAATTGACAATAATTCTTGGTGTTGTTAGCCTTTAGAAGAACCTTGAAAGAACAATTGGAATAGCCCAAATCTCTTTAAAAAACTGTCACCAACCTATGTCTCTCTCCATGCATTAAACCAAAATAAAAATGGATCAAAGATCTAACTATTAAAACAGAAACGCTGAATCTGCTGGAAGAGAGAATAGGTAGAATGCCTGAGGACATACATGTAGGCAAACACTTCATGAACAAAACCCTAACCACATGGGAAATACTACAAAGAATCAACAACTGGGATCTCATCTTATTAAAAAGGTTTTGCCCAGCAAAAGAAATCACCAACAGAGTGAAAAGTAACCCACAGAGCGGGGAAAAAATTAGCCAGTGGTTCCTCAAAGGACTAATATCTAGAATATTATAAAGAATTGAAAAAAATTAGGCCCCTCAAATTTAAAGACCCAATCCAAAAATGGGCATCTGAGATGAATATATATACTTCTCAGATGAAGTAGAAACAGCAAATAAATACATGAAAAAATGTTCAACATTACTAGTCATTTGAGAGATGCAAATTAAAACAAGGCTGAGATTCCATCTCACTCCAGAAAGAATGGCTATCACCAAGAAATCAACCAATAACAAATGCTGGCGGGGCTGGGGGAAAAAGGAACCCTTCTCCACTGCTGGTGGGAGTATAGACTGATGCAACCACTGTGGAAATCAGTGTGGAGATTCTCAAAAAATTAGGATGAGAGCTCCCATTTGACCCAGCTATTCTCCTTCCAGGCATCTTCCCCAAAGAA